CTTTGAGCCTCCCGCCACTGCTGGCCATATGAGGACCACGTATGTTCGGTATTTCTCCGCGTGATAGAGTTCGCAACGAAGAATTCCGCAGTAGAACAAAGATAACCGACATACACCTCAATGTTTTAAGACTAAAGTCTTCATCAACCAAGGTGTGTTGCCAGTGATGACATACGGACCTGAGACGTGGTCCTTCACTGCTGGCCGTAAGCTCTAAGTCGCTCAGCGAGCTACGGAGCGGGCTATGCTCGGAATTTCTCCGCTTAATAGAGTTCGCAACGAAGACATACGCACTAGAACAAAGATAACCGACATAGCTCGGAAGGTTAGTAAGCTGAAGTGGCGATGGGCTGGCCACATTGCTCGTAGAACCGATAACCGTTGGCGAAGAAAGGATCTCGAATGGCAGCCGTCGCAGTACAGGCCATCGCAGTGTAGGACGACTCCCACTAGATGGAATTGACCACATGTGACCAAATATACGGGAAGTCGATGGATGCAGTTGGATCAGGATCGTACTTCGTGACAGACTGTGGGGGAGGCCTATGTTTAGCACTGGACTCAAACACGCTGAAATGATGATGATATTTGATATAACTGTTTTATGTGAGAAGGTCGCAAACGAGCTGGCGGTGCACCTGATTTTAAGTAATAATCGCTGCGCATGGACATGGACTTGCCACACCCATAGGGTTGTAATTGCGCTGCCACATTTTACTGAAATGGGCCTCGGATACCTCACTAATCAGAGGAAACGCAGACGTATAACAATTCCACTTCACGCCGGTCTTCATGAGGTCGTGGAACTTTCACGGATACACCTGCCCATTTGTGCAACAGCGAAGACTATTTTCTTTTTTGTGAAACAGTGGCAAACGACCTGGTGGTTCATCTGATGTTAAGTAACCGCTGCCCATGGACATATGCAATAACCGTAGAGTTGCAGATACTTTGCCTTCTTTTATTAAAGTGGGTCCCGGCTACCCTACTTTTACTTCACGCCGGTCTTCTGTGAACATTAAACTATGTTCACAGTATGGGAAAATATAAAATAATGATATAGTTTGTTTGACCAATAAATTAATGCAGTGAAACTGATCATAATCCCATATAAGAAATACTCAATATATTTTCTAACGTTATCTCTATTGTGAGTCTACTAAACTACGCGTATCTAATAAACTACGCGTTTGATTCAATATATAATAAAAACTCAGTAGAGACATATGGCCTTAAATGCCACGTGTGCAATAAACCACGGAATGTAAATAAATCATATGTGACTGCCGAGGATACACAACGTTACTTATGTCAACTCGCGGCTTGACCGGCTTCTTGATTAACTCGCATCGTCGCAATCTTCATCGTTCAGCTTATCTTTATATGCAATCGCTCCATAAAACGTTCATCACTGGATATGGCCGTGGTGATCTGTGTGGGTACATAATTTTGATGTATGCCCATATTTGAACGCCAACCGTATAAGGAAATGATATATTCCATGCACACAGAATGAAAATTAATCAAGAAAAGTTTGCTAACATTCTTCGGATATAACACCACACGTTCATTAGTACTTACGTTTCCTAACGATAAGAACGCGAAACGACCATTTCATTAATCATCATAATCATTACCAAAGATTGCCCAAAACCATAGTTGAATGCATAGAATCAACTAATAAACTTTTAATCATAAAACTTTTGCCTCAACTTTTTTCTTCTGTATCAGAATTTATAATGACTTTTACCATGGGTGGCGTTAAACAACTAACACTATGTGAGCAGCCCGCTCGCTTGGCAACTTTTTACATAAACAAAAATCCAACTGAATGAAATGACATTCACTTGTCGACGTTGCACTGCGCAGATATCTTTGAGCACAACACTGTTTTTGATTCTGGCGGCAAAATTCGTCCGCAGTAAACACTCGCGAACACCGCAGACGACCGCTATCAGGAAAGAGATCGGTTGTCGCTCCCCTTTAGCTTATCTCGAAACGGCTTTTTTAAAGCCTTAAATGGCTGCCCACAAACTTGCGAGGTCCCGCGGCTCCGGGAAATCGGCGATAACCTCCCATTGAGCTCTGCAAAAGGAACCGGCTAAGAATACCCTCCACACAACCAAACTTCATGTTTTGGGTGTCCGATGATACAATCTCCGGCAGACGGGAGGGACATCTTCAAAGTAGAATTAACCAGCCGAGTCTCAATTACTTTTGAATTTCGCATAGTCTCCGAATAGATCAACCTCAAGTACTTAGACGCAAAATCGTTTATCGTATCAAAGATTAAAGAGTGTATTTCGAATCCACACGTACGATTTATGTACCGATACTAATGTACCGATTTACGTACGTATGTGAAAGTGAAACAGATATATATACAACTATAAAATTACTCTTATACTATTTCAAAATTCAAATGATTTTGCAAACACTGTAGGCATAACTATCTTTTTGCCTCGTTTTGTAAGGCCAACGTGTCACGATTTCTGCGCACGTGTCTTGATGCTCTTGACGATATTGCTGATAAAGTTACTTATAAAACGATAAAAATGCATCCCATCATAAACTGCTTAAGCTATATACGGCAACTCGCAAAGCGATGGAGTCGTGCTTATGAAATGATTGTTGCCCCGACTCTTAATTTAAATTGCACCGGCACGTCGCCCGACTATCTGCGCCGTGTATCGTCGGCAAGGATCCACGAGTTGGCAAATGCATTGGCTATCTAAACTACATCGCGCCCCCGTCAAATGTGCGTTGCATCTAACCGATTACCTTTAGGACGCTTGCACATTAAGCTGAACTTTATATAAAAAGGAAAATGACTGGAGTAAAACATTTTCGCAACGAAAAAACCGACATCAAATATCTCACTCGCTATCCAGTTTATATTTGATCTTGAGGAGTTCCTTGATGTATCTACGTGCCCAAGGTCCAATACTAATGTCATTAGTATGAGAACACATTAGAGCTAAACCGAAGCCCGTACAAAATATTTTTTAAAATCGATTCTCAAATGAAGAAGTTCTGGGGTAACAAACTTAAAGAAAACACAACTGATTTGAGGATCTCCCTTATTAAAGGTTGAAAATAACGGACGGTTCATAATTTTTTGGTGATTACCGCCATTCATAGACTTCTGTAATACTCGTAAGTTTGCAGTACCTCCAAGAGCCAACCCCTCACTTGCAATATCGGTAATGTAAAAGTATACTTCTTTACGCTGCGCAGTCCCATTATACGTTTCCTTTAAATAAACTCTGAGCGTTCAATCCTCATTGTTTCCGTGCGGTTGATCCGAAAGTGAACGCCGTTCGATTGTTCACAGTCCACTAGTCGCCATTACTCCCCGGTGTGTCCGCCTTTAACGCGCGCATTTAGCTCGCCGACGCTAACTCATGGCCATCATAAAATTATTTCATCGTAGGCCGAACCGTGACGACGACATCTTGTCATAATTTAAACTCTAAATAAAGCGCTTCAGTCTCACGTATATGGCATTAACGGCCCGCTGAAGTAGCGACATCGCATAAACAACCAACCGTGTCCGCGCCTAAACGGCTCTAAAAACCCGCGGACGGCTCCCATTCGCGCGCGACGCTAATAATGTACACACTTTAAGTGCATCGTTCATATTCGTCTTTTTTGCTACCTATGTACAACAGTTGATTGCAATCTTGAACGTCGATAAAATGTAAACGTCAGGACGCTCTGCGTTTGAGCGTCAGGTCTGGACATCGCTTCTCCTAGGGCTAGTCGCGGCGGCCTGTTAGGTGGATCCGATCACATAGCGACCGCGCGTGCGGCCACGTGTTTCCGAAAAACCAGTCCGCGATATACCGCCGGCATTGAGGCCGCCTTACATGGAGTTGTTTTGATCCGTGCTATTGCCCTGTAGAGCCGGCCGGTGCGCCGCGCGGACGCTCACGGCACCGGAAATCCGAACATCCGCTCGTCTAGAATGTTCACCCGCTAGACAATGAACCGCTAATAAATTGTCCCTCCGTCCGTCTGTCGTTAACGTATGGACGCGTAGTCGCCTATCTTTTATGGTCCGCTGGCGCGGTGCCCCTTTTTTCCGAGTCCGTCGCGCCGCAATTCCCTTCTTTTATTGATGTTCGCGGTACACTCATTAATTCGCACTCCGAATGGAAGAATGACAGTGGTCTCATTCAATTGTAACTCGAGTCGTAGAAAGCTTTCCGAATGGAAATATGCTTGAATAAGAAGTTTTGAAGTAATCGGAGACTGACGACGCTATTCTGCGCTAGTAAATGTACCGTTGGCAGATTACGTGGTACTAAGATGCTTGGGAGGTTCGCAGCCATCATTCGAAGGTAGTCCAAAGGTTTATAACATTAATTTTAACTCTTTAGTTATATTACCCGTAAACGTGTGTGACGAGGCCATTTCCAACAGGTTTAGTTTATTATTAAGATACTTATAAACATGGTAATCTATTTTACATTTATTTTGTTGAAAACACGTTTTGTTTGGTAAAAAAAATATTTTTTTCATCTTGGCCAACTTGTTTATATCTACCAATATAGCTCGCTGTTAAAATGAATGCATTAACCACTCGACACTTTATACCTAAGCAAGACAGCTTTACGTCTGTAAATATGTAGGGCATGATCGTTAGCATACATAGAGCTATACGACGAAGAGTACTGAATTTCACTTATTGGCGCTCCCAAATGCATTGCTTTAATACTAGGTGCTATATCTGTGCAGAGCTGCGTCCGTGCGTATCACATCATAGTATAAAACAAAGTCGTCACGCTGTCTGTCTGTCCCTATGTATGCTTAGATCTTTAAAACTACGCAACGGATCTTTTCTTTTTCTGGACGAAGGTTTATATGTATAATACATTAAACCCGTGCGAAGCCGGCGTTTTGTGTTTTAACAGAAGGCAGTCGTATCACTCGTGTCCTTACAGTGGCGACGAGAACGGGAATATTTCTCTGCCGAACAAACCCTCGATTGCTTTCAGATACCGCTCGTGAGCAACGAGGGAAAATCGGGGCTGGGCACCTCCAGCTCGACCGAGGCTCGACCCGCGTACAATCCGCCGAAGTCGACCCTGGGCCCGGCGACACTGCGGCTAGCCGCGCGCACCAAAATGCTGCAACCGCCCGCCAAAGCGTTCCAAGACCCAGTCAACAGTTATGATTCGGAATAAATTATCCTATACTATTTACGGAACCGTTGTTTAGTTTTGACCCAAAGTGACAGACTATAAATATCCCGCTGCTGGGCAAAGGCCTCCTCTGTAAAGAGGGTATCAGGGCATAGTCCACCACGCGACACCACTGAGGATTGGCGGACTTCACATATTTTCGAAATATGTGAGAAAATAAGTGACGTTTTTGACCCAGCCTAGTTATCATTGCAGCCTTTTCCCTGAAAAGTAAGAAAGGTTCCACCTCATCACTCAATGAGACTACTAAGCACACGATCTTTCATTTGTGAGGGTGTTTCCATATAAAAATTTTCTTAAAAACTTCTGTTTCGTCATTCGCTATATAGAATGGGTGAAACATCCAGAGATTGGTCTAGTACAGTTTTAGTTTTAAGTATTTGTTAAACGTACCTCATTTGGAGACATCAAATAGATCTATTTGCTGGTGACAGTTATTTGCAATTGAGGTAAATACGAAAGACCGAATTTAGGATTCTTACATCTTAGTAAAACAAAATGTACACATCAATTTGTGCAGATGTTTCGAAATCATAAAATTTACAGAAATAATCGTCTCCTATATTTCGGCGGTATTTCTTGGAATGTTTATTGATTCCAGTAACGAAAAGCTACGTATTAAAGACTTAGCAAAAGAGAAGAGTTCTGCAAATATTGCTATTCAAAAGATCAGGCAGTTAATTGACAAGGTGTATACAGATATGTTTTTTTTTTTTGCTGGATTACCAACGTTACTATTGCGTTAAATAAGGTGGTGAATGATGAACTCTTTTTTTAGCAATTTCCATTAATACGATAAGTCATCGTCTAAACGGGGGATCACTTAGAGTATCCGTGGGTCGTCTGCCCGCGGACCTCTTCCGCTGAAGCTGTCAAAGCCGCCGGGCTAACAGCAAACTACACGTCACAAAAAAAACTTAGCGTATTATTTAGAAGAAGAAAACATCTTACCACTTGTACGTTGACGAACTCCAGTTTTATATCCAGTTGTCTTTGGAAAACCTGCCTATATAGCAATCGAAATCTCTAACACTGATTTCACTTAAATTTTGAATTAAAGTATATCGTTTAAATCCCATCAAAACTCAACCATTATCAATCTAAATCCTAGATTAGTTGCCAAAATGGACTGGTCTAGTTTACCAACAAGAATTCTCATTAGAACTCGAACCCCTTACAGTAATAATTTGAAGAATCTAGGAAGGGCTTTTGGTTAACTGTGGTAGAACCACGCAGCAACCTCAGCTGTTGCACGAATGGGCAGGCTCGTTCGGGTAAGTACCCTCACAGAAGACCGGCGGGAAGTGGAAGCATAATACTTTCGCGTTTCGTCTGGTGAGTGAGTTGGCCAGAGACCAATTTTCAAAAAGGTTGTCAACGCATCTGCAAACCCTCGGGCCTGTTGCAGATGTCCATTGGCGGTGATATTCACTTAAAATCTGGTGAACTTCCTCCTCGCACCGCTTAACGACTTATCATATAGAAAAGAAGAATAAATATATTTTATCCCCTGTCTGATTATTACATTATTTTACCCCTTAAGCTGGTCAAGTGTTTCCCGTAGCCGTTCAGTCTGCAAAGCGTGTCAAACAATTATACATACATACATACCCCAAAAACATAACCATCTATTCGTGCATTTTGTGTATAACAAAGAATATACTAGTTGATTGACCAGGTAGCAGCCGTTACACAAGCTTCCACAGCATCACGCCCTGTGGCGTATTCCTTATAGTTGATTTTTATCACTATGTTTACTGTCACATTACTTACAGTGAGCGTTACGTAAATGTCATGTGTATGCAAAATTATGTGGCGAAGCAGTAAAGAAGATAATATACCATTTGAAACCAGTCTTGGCAACGCCTTCGTGTTCTGGTTTATATTGGCCAAAACCACGCAAGAACGAAATTAAAGAAAAGTAATTAAGGAAATTTGTATTTTAATAGCATTTTATAATGTCATAAGTTGAAAAACAATGGTCGTTATTTCAAATATGCCACCATAATCGAATACTAATACAGTCAGTATCAGCCAATATCAGATACAGCCTATACTTTAAGTAATAAATATAAATCCTATAATAAAATCATGATGTCTAGGTGACGCAGTTGTTAAGTTTTTAGTTGTTGGCTTCGCCGCAGAGGAACCTAAGATAATAGTCCGTCTGCTCGTTTGGTAACTTTTAAAATAAAATAAAAAAGTAATTGTTCCCAATCTGGATGGTTGTTCCCGAGGCGGTTTGACGTTAGGCAGGCAGCGTGGTCACACCTAGTCAAAACCTTTTACAACAACTTGATTGACATGTGCCACTACCTAGTTAGGATAAGGGCAGGAGGATAATGAAAGCCAGTAAACTACTATAATTTTTAAATAATTAAAAAAATGACAATATTTGACCGCTAATTCCACGCTGATTTATCTCAACAGGCTACATTCGGTTGGAAATCAGAAAATTTTATAATGAACCATTACATTTGATAAATGAAATTACTGAATGATTTACTTAAGGGATGCAGTTCTTACGTCATTAGGTTCGCTACAAGAAAATAAAGTTCCAGTTAACTTTTGTCCATTAAAAATGTTTCCTCTATAAATAGTCGTTTAACTGCATACACGTAAGTTCCCATTCGTGCTTAGGCCCAGTTGTAAAAGCAATCCCATGGCGGCTCAGCCGAGGCTATTAAGTGTTTTACGCTGCCCGTAATTGTACGATCGGATATTTTAACCAAGGGAAAATGGGTCCACTCGATTGAGGAAAAAGAGTATTAAGTGTAATAACTGCAAAACTCAATGATTGATCCAGGCTTGTCAGACGCAAAACAGAGCGTTCGTTCTGTATTTGCGCGCACAGGAGTGCGAACTAGTTCGCGCTTCGCCCACGACCTGCCAAGCAGCCGCCCGATAACTTCACCGCGAATATAATGCGTCGTTTAATTTAACGACTGGCATTCAGACCGTGCCACTGTCTAATCTGTATCTTCAATTAGATTATACTGAAGCTGGCGTAAACCGTAAACGAAAGGACGAAATAATTGATTTAAATTGATTGCAACTATAATTATTATGATATCGTTGGAGTGGCACTAATAACTTAGCCATTTTTAATTGAAGTACACATAAAATAATATAGTTATCGATTTATTATTTTTCAGCCTGTTTAAGTCCACTGCTGTTCATAAGCCACAGACTGCCAGTAAGCCTTAACCTGATCCATCCGTTGATATACCATGGACGCACATTTGGACAGGTTAATCTAATAAAAAAAATCTTATTCTTCATTTAAGAGAAACTAGGTACTTTGGTCAATCGATCAGCCTTGGAATATAATACTCTTAATTCTTCAAAAACAATGCAAAGATATAAAAATGTGAAAGTAGTTTTTGGAATAATTATGAACCAACCGATTTATCGACCCAAAATGGCCAATTGATAACATAACTGGCTGTAAATATCGTATTAAAATAAACATTCCTTGCGCCTTATAAATGAAATGCAACTCTCGAATAAAATGTCGTAAACCGGGTCTCGGGCAATTCCATCAAAATCGGCTTAGACGCATATTTAATCATTGCTACTTCATTTACATGTTGATCTAGTACATGGTTTTCAAGCTGTAGTCACCTAATGCTTAAGGCACACCTTAAAATAGCGAGCTGTAGAAGTGTAATCCCATAACTATTCTCAAGTTTGAACGCAAAAGCATACATATAATGGACAATTGCGAAAAAAAATAAGAAAACATAAAAACCTTATTTTTGTGAATGTGATGAAGTTGCAAAAGAGCTGACGGTTCACCTGATGCTAAGTAATAACCGTCGCTCATGTTATTTGCAACACCCGTAGATGCATTGCCACCTTTTAATAATATGGGCCCCGGCTATTTCACTCACCAGACGAGACGAAATGTAGTACTTCTACTTCACACGGGTCACCTCACAGAAAACCGTGGGTTAGTAAACCCGGGTCCCGGACGGACCTGCCCATTCGTGCAACAGCGAACACTGTTACGTGATCCTACCACAGTCAAATTAAAACATTATTTAAATCAAACTTAAAATAAAACATTCACATGAGACACGGACAAAAGGCTATAATACATTGCGTAAATATACGCAGTTAAAGTAGTACAAAAATAATGCATTTATTGAATTGCACCTGGGCGAAGCTGAGACGTATCGCAGGTCACTAACAAAGTCTTACTACGTGTTGTGTAAGTGATCTTAAAAAGGTATATCTATCTAAATAGCGTGTCGTTACAACCGCGACAATAAATGAACACACGTCTAACGCTACTTGCCAATAATCATAAAAAAAATATAAAACGTTAAAAAATGCATAATAAAAAATATATTTTTAAATATGTTTTTCAAACAAAGTAATTAGATAAAAAAGGAACAAAATTTGTAACATCTTATACAACTACAACTGACTGATTAATACATTCAGAGACTTTTTCATTCGTTGCCACAACGTCGCATTACAAATCTCTTCTTCTAACAGTATGTTTTATCTCTTTTAAATTCATTCAACCCTTGAATATGCTTTGTGACCTTTACAAATGAACTTTATGTTATAGTTTTATACGTAAGTGTGTTCTAAACTTGTTTGTTTTGTTAAATGTAATAACTCAGTTAATATTGATGTTTAAAGAATGTAAATGCTTAATACAATTTTAAAAAGTTATCCTCTATGTGTGTGTTCGTTTGTTGTCGCGGTTGTAAGGACACGCTGTATATAAAAATGAATTGCTGTTCGTTAGTCTAGCTAAAACTCGAGAACGGCTGGACTGATTTGGCTAATTTTTGGTTTTGAAATATTTGTGGCAGTTCAGGCAAGTTTTAAACGATGAGAAATTATGGAAAAATTACATGGAAAATCGAAATAACAAAGATTTTATTTTCCAATACAAACTTTTCCGAGCTGTAAAACATTTTATGGTTGCGTTGCGAAAATCCTTTTTCTATGTGTTCAGATTC